AAAAGTATTTTTAATCTTAAAATGAACATTAATTTGCATGATAGATAGGAAAAATGCAAAAAGAAAAAAAAAAAGACGAGAAAAACATTGCTTTACAAACCTTAAGACTTAATAAAAAAAAACTGACATTTTAAGTATGAAAGAATTGTAATATTTACTGATAATCTGCCAAATTTCGTTAACATTCGCTTACTAATGCAAAAGTTATAGCATGAAAATTTTAACAAATGCAAAATGGTTACAAGGTCAGTCCCAGGGACCAAGCCTGTGCTTAAAAAGAGTTAAAAAACTTAAGAAGAGGGTGAAAGAGGAATTACCAACCAATAATAGATGAACATTATATGACTGTAATTTGTAGATACTCAGTGCTTTGTACGCTCTATACAATTGATGTCTTTATGGAGTAAAACCCTATTTTTTGTATGAAGTAAGGAGTAAAAAAATAAATCTTATCACTACTAACTGTTTATTATCATTACACTATATAAAGTTAGCTATCATATAAAGAAATACTTTCTCCATAGTTGAGCATAAAAATAGCCAACAAACAAGATAAATAAAAAATTTGGAATTTAAAAACCTGTAAATAGTGATTGTAAAAAAGTAAGCAAGCAAAGCTGGAGATGCTGTAGACATTATTTATTCAAACTACAAACCCCAATTTTGGCTCCCATGTTGTTACATAGAATTAAAGCCTTGTTTGCTTACTTTTTTTATAATCCCTATTTGCAGGTTTTTAAATTCCCAATTTGTTATTCATCTTGTCTTAATGTACTAAATCATTTGTGAACCCATGTCATTTACGTGCATGCAAACCTACCAATAATTAATGATATAAAACTAGTCAATGATATAAGAGATAAGTGTCTACAACCTATTAATCCTAACTGTTTTTAAAAGCACTTTCTGTTGCTGGTGTTTTTTTGACATAACAATGGTGTATTTCTTAACTATGTTTTGTTGTAATTTCATATAGTGGTTGACAGGAATATCTACGTATAAGTAGAACAAACAAAAAATGCCTCTTGCAGCATTGAGAAAATAAAGTTTACTTTCATTTTTTGAAAAATAACTGGCTCTATCAAAAAAACTTGTAAATTGTATCATACTAATTTCTTTTGGCGTATTCCACGTTTATAGCTTTTGACCATAATTATCTTTTATTAAACTTCATATAATTTTATTAATGTGTATTGATTGTTAGTGTGAATGAACAAATTTTTGATCACGAATGCTTTATTTTGATTACTTTGTGACAATAGTTAAAGGATGCTTTTAAAAAGTATTTTTGTTGTATTTCAGGATTTATTTTTTAAATATCTGCTATGGTTTAATAATTAGAATGCATAACAGTCTTCAAAACATTAGATGAGTATGTGGCAAACGCTGTATTAGTCAATAAATGTTTCTTTGTGTAGTTATGACATTGTCATAGAAATATCATATTAATAATCAATTTTATGAAAAAAATAAATTTGTTCAATGTGTAGATCCTGTTTTCAAGTATGTGTGTGTGTTGCTAGAAGAAAATGTTTGTGAACCACTTATGGTCCTGATTTTTTTTTTATTATTCAATATGATTTGTGCATTTGAACATACCAAGATTTGTTTCTCCAGCAAGAGCTGTGTTAGGCCTTATTAGCCTAAGTAACTGCTTGAGTGGATGAAGAAAATCACTGAAAATGTAAAACTAAGTAATAATAATATAAAATGGGTGTAAGCTTATTACTTATATTTAATGAAATCTTCTGATTAACAATTCAAAAAAATGTGTTTACCCAAACTTTGGATATGTAAAAAAGTTATTTTTATTGTACACCAGTAATCGTAAACAAAGTGGAACTGTATGTGCTGTTTTATAAAATAAAAATATTATAGAAAAGTTTTAATAGATTAGTAAGTCATAAAAAGTAATAAACATCTACAACAAAGGTATGCAGTTTTCTTTCTAAAAACATATCACTATAGAGTGGGCAATTTAATCAATTATCTATAAGCAGTGATCACACAGATCAAAGTCATGTAAACTAATTATCAATCAAAATTACAGTTGATTAATGTCAAGAGAATAATCAACTGATAGTAGTTTTGTTTTTCTGACTATACTGTTTGTGATTATTCCAACAGTTGATTAATCTATTCTCATGAAATAATTAACTAACTGAAATTAGGGAAAGTAATCAAAATATTGTCATTGTGTTTGTTGTTAAGTGCAAAGCTGCAAAATGGGCTATCTGTACTCTGCCCACTGCAGATATTGAAAGCAATTTTAGTGTTTTAAGTTTATTCAGCTTTGAGCCAGCATGGACTCTTAGGGTCTCAGGTTCAATTTTCGTTGCCAATAAGTTTGCTCATTCTGTCTTTGTTATGGCAAAGTTACTAAGTCTATCTGCCAATCTCGCTAATTTTGAATTGCTGACTATAAAGAACTCAACTGGCTGACAGCATCTTGCTAACTCTTGGTTTTCCATGGTTTTCAGGAACACTTAATCTACAGTGAGCCCATTGATCAGTAAATACCATTATTACCAAGCTCTAATCATTATGAAATCGTTTTGAAATTTCAAAGCTGCAATTGTAAACAAATTTCACATATATTTTATTTGCAGAAGGTAATTCTGAAGTTTTAAACTGTTTCTTCCAGTAGTTTTGTTTCACACAGCCAAGTCTTGTAGAGTTATTAATGCATTAATTTTTGAAACATCTGTTAAAAGGTTATGGTCAGAGAATATATATATGTATGTATGTATATACACAGATATCTAGATCACAGTATATGTTAAACACGCTTTGTAGAATCAATGTGAAGCTACTCTCTTACAGGAGCGAATGGAGGGGCAGGAAGCTGAGGAGTCGAGTCCCCATAGCAGTGATGCAGAAAGTGATGATGAAGATACAGATGCTCCACAAGCCATTCAGTGTTCACAGTCTTGAAATATTAAAGGTTTAGTGTTACATGTGTTAATAATAGTCTCTTTATGTGCTTAATTTGTATGTAGTAAGAGATAGGTACTTCTCTAGACAGGCCAATCAGTGAACTCTTAGTTCTTGGGAGAGTAAAATCTTGAAAAATCTTTCCCTTTGTAATGCTCAAGGCTATTGAATGTTTGAAAAATGTATTATTTTTTTTGTACTTTCTTTGAAAAGGTAGAGTATTGCCAGATAATTATGTGCAAATGGCAGGCATAAGTTACCATTTTGAAAGTGTATGTTTCATTGATGTTGCTAGAATTAAAATATATGTAAAAGTTGGCCTGGTGAGAAATACATGATATTCTTTGATACAAGTAAACTTAAAACAATAAAGTTCATGTAATTAAAAATCTTTCTGTATATAATGTAGGGTAAGATTAAGAAAAATCTATTTGATTGTGAAGTAAAAAACTACATTTTACTAATCCTCAAGTATTTTTGTCAAATTTCAATGTTTATCTTAAGAAAAATAATGTTTTTCTCCTAATAAAATACAGAAGTATTTTTTGTTCCTATATGTAAAATCACATTTTTTCTATAGGGTTTGATAAGTTGGTATATATAAAATAAAAAGCATCAATTCCTGTGATAATTGTAGTTACTCTTTAAAAGTTTATAGCAAAATTAAATTGTTTTGATCACTAACATGTACTTAGTAAAACTTGTATATCATATGACATACAGTGAACTTATAATCTGAGATGCCAAAGTTTGTATGAATGATACCCACATAAGATTTATTTTATTTGAAATAATTGGCAATAGTTTTTGTAAAATAATGTGTAGAATAAAATTTGTGCTCATGTATTGATTTTTTAATGTGGTTTCTGGGTAATGTATTTCTTATACAATATACAGTATGAAATTAAGGTGACTTGTGCCTGCTTAAGTAATGGAAGGTATGTAACAGGTTATTTCTAATTAACAACCAATCATACAAGAACTAGATCTACTTATAATATCTTAATGTCTCAATTTTATTGGTTCCTCTGGTTTGCTCAGTCAAATAATGTACAAGATATCTAGTATATTTTTCCACTACAAATTATTTTAAAAAACAGTAGATTTAATCAAAACAGATTCAGTTTCATAAGACGAATGAACACATTATTTACAAACATATCAAACTAAGAAATATTTGTTTTAGCAATAAATATGTGCTTTCTCAAAATTAATAAGTATCTAATTTTAATTTTTTAGTAATTTGAAAATCAAATCACTGTATGGAAGTTCAGTATGTTCCATTATACATAAATTTTATGTAGAAAATTGCATCTTGCAAACTGCTAGGCTGATAAAGATTATTTTATCTGAATTTTTAAAGTTATATATATGTATATAGTGTTTCAAAGTACAAAATAAACGACTTAAAAAGAACATTAACCACATTTTCATTAAGACTTAACTTCCCACCACAGTCAGTAAGCTATGTACTAAAAGAGAAAGGCTGCAAAAGTTCATCTTTTTGGTCCTGGAGTGAATCACAACTTATAACATAATGAAACATGGCTACTTTTACAACATACATATTCCTACAGTGATTAGTGAAATATCCAAATTGTTTTATTAAAACCAGTCTCTTAATTAAAGAAAAAAATTCATGTCATCTCAAATAGGGATAATTTATTACCCTGATGTATTTATTCCACTATTATGAAGTTCCCTCATAAAACAAAATTAACTTCATCAAGCATTGAGAAAAAAACCTTTACACTGAAACCAAACAATGTTAAATTGATATTATTATAAACAAAAGGTATTAAAGTATTTCCTCCTCACCCCTTTATATTTTCCATTTATTGAAGATTATAGACTGTGTTAATGGCCTAATTTGTTTTTCTTTTACTCAACCACTTCTTTTTCCACTCATTAATAAAATTAGTTATCTGATAACTTGAAACAGCAACTGTAAAAAAAAAAATTACAGGCTAGTAATTTTGTTCACAATAACATTAAAATCCTTAATTTTTTTTATTACCACTATCACTTACTAAGGCTAATGGTCAGTAAGAATTGAGAGACTGTGCTAAACTGAGGTAAATATGTAATGAAATCAGGCCCATTGACACTGCTCCAGATGCTTTGATGAGTAGAATAATCCAAGAACCAACTCCAAATGTATGCACAAACAACCTGAAAAACAAAAAATACCTACTTTAAATAATTTATGGTGAATTGCTCTCTCTCAGAAATAGGAAGCAGTTATTCCACATCACAAATAATATCAGCTGTGTAATTATTGTAATCTCTCTTTTCAATCACATCATCCATTTTTAATGAAAGATCTTAATTTTCTATTCTATATACAACCATTCTTATTAATCAGGTTACATAATTATCTTTGTTTCCTACAACATATTTTGGACTGAAAAATTTAAATCAGTTATACATAAGAAGTGGTAATTACATCACACATTAAAACATGCTACAACACCTTTATATGTTTTACATCACAAAGATTATTTTCATTTGTACAAACAGAAAGTTTCAGATATTATAGAAGTTAAAGAATGTGCTTACTCAACAATAAGTGGTCTGTAACAGCTTAGTGCAAGAAGTAATGTGACAACAGGAAGATGAGTTTTACGTAAGTCATGACGAGTCCACAACCACACCAATGTAGCAGTTGCAATATGATGCACCTGTAATATATATTAACAAGTTTACAACAAGGAGAATTGCTTATAAAATTCACCAAAAAGGTTATAAAAAAGTTATGGTAATAACTTAAAGCCTACAAGAATTTTTTATTAATATGAAAAAAACATGTCATGTGAAAAGTAACTACAAAAAATACTTTATAAAATATTATACAAAACAAATTATGCATTCAGTATTACACACTATGACAGCATCACTTGCAACTCCATGCATCTTTCTTTGTATAAATGTTTTAGGTTTTTATTTCGCATGATTTGTTTGACTTCAGTTGCCACATAACCCAAAAAATCTGTATCTCATGTAATTCCAACCTTCATAAGTTTCAGCCTAACATATGCAGAAACAAAATTAGTTTATTATCTACTTGGACCATCATATGCATTTGACATCAAACAGATAATAATAATTAGGTTAAAAGTTTAATACTATTTTAGGTAGGATGAAGAAAAGTAAAAAAAAAAGAATATTAAATTATAACATTAATGAACATAAAAATACCCCAAACAATTGATATTGCTGGTGCAAAAATCATATTTAAACATTCCAGTAAACTTGGCTTTACAACTACAGCATGAGAGAAAACAAAATTTGAAGATTGTAAGTGTTTGAAATGCTAAAGGGCTACAATACTTTTTTTTAATAAATCTATAAACAACTTAAGATACATCATGTAAGAATCTTCACATAACAAGTCTTTAAAATCGATGGTAACCATGTTAATCAACAAATGAAATACTTTATTAAATTTACATTAATAACATTATTGGAGAAGGGATTGTATTCTTTTAAGTTTTCAAAATCATTAAATCCTTGACATTGGTTTTCATGCACAATACTATTGTTAAATATATGTGTAAGATAAAAGATTTTCTTTACCAAACTGATGTTAGAGTCAAAACTCATCTGAAGGTACTTCCAGTCAAACTCAATTCCTCGAGCTCCAACCCAAAGGGGAAGAAACCTTGTAACAACAAGTTCAGCTGTAGCCCAGCCAAGTCCTGCAACAAGGAACTTAGTCTCACCTTTTCCAGCTATCTTTGTCATAACAAAATGCAAGCCCAATAAGTCTGCCAGATCCACTGTTGACTTCATGAATTCCTGGAAACACAAAAGGTTTCATTTCCTATCTGACGACACAAACCTGAAGTTTATGCATAAGCCAAACTTTAGACCAGTAAAGAAACTATAAACAAAAAAGTGTTCTTAAGGCTTGTAAAGCATAATGTAAAGTTTTCTATTAAAATACTTTCCTACTAAGGAAAAAAAAAGAGTACTACATCAAATGTACATAGACACTTAACAAAAAAGAAATATCTTAAAATGTTGATCACTTTTCTTTTTGAGTGATACGTGTTTTTATTATTCGTAGGCACTTCAGTGACTTTATAAAAATACTTCATCATTCATTAAGTACATTTTAATTAAACATGTACGAACAGCTTGACACTGTATGTTAAACTTTCATTCTTTACAAAGTGCAGATTATCTTAACAAGCTTCATTATACTATTTACTTTTAGTGCTTCCTTCTATAAAACGTGTACTTGCTTACCATGTCCAGCCTTATGGGAGCCTTGAATTCCGATATGCATTAAAGAGAAGAAAAATTATTGGAATATATGAACATTAGCTGGAGTACTGTCCATTAAATGAGTGAAATAAAAACTTGTTTGTAACAAAGAATAGGTCAATGTGCTCCCATTTTTTTTTTCCCTTAACACAATAAACATTAAAAGTGCAATAAAAATACATAATACTGAAAAGAAAGATATAGCGTTTTCAAGAATTCTGTCAGTATGAAATTAGATGGGGGAGGAGGGAATCCAATAAAACACTTAATTTCACAGGAGCAGTCACTAGGCAAACCATGTTATAAGGTGAATGATGAATCTAAAAATAAAGACAGAGACAAGTTTTAATCTAGGCTGAGTTTTATTTTTTGATTGACCTATCTTTAACAGCAGGTAACTGATACAAATTAGGCACAATAAGATTTTAAAAGTTTTTTTTGCAAAAACACATTTACATACTTTTATATTTAAGATATTTGTAAAATTTTGAAAATATCTTTACATACCACATAAACTTTTACTGGAAGGAAAATAGACTTTGTATGGTATCCACTATGGATGATATTGTCTGATGTGTCACACCAAGTACAAGTGAATTACTGTGGTGTGGTCATTTGTTTAGTTTTGCATGCAGGTTTTTTCCAATGAACTTTTCTTTAAAAGTATTTTCGCTCAAAGGTTATTTGCTTCGTGACTTTTCAGGAAAAGTGTTTGTTTCTAACAAATTAATTGCAAAGTAAACTGTACTGCGACATCGACAAAGAAATTTGCCATGCTTATGTTGAACCTGTTATGTCTCTGGTCGTTGTTTAATTTTCCGTAGAAATTCTTTCCCAAAAATCTCAGCGATAAAAGTCCTTTCTTAAATAAAATTAGTTCTCAATACAACTTTGCAATACACTTAATTTCCACAGTCACTTTAACTTAACACAAACTATAATTCACAACGATTCACGCACTTTACTTACGGCTTGACTTGATTATCTGTCTCTATATCTCTCTGTCTGCAATTATCTCTCTGCCGTCACTTTATTTGCCAGCATATATACAAGAACATAGCATGCCTAGATAAGTCTAGAGTTCCAAGGAACAGTCACGATCTTTCTAGAACTCCAGCGCATGCTCCAAGCTTCACGCGACTTATGCTGTCGTAACACTGCCCCTTCCTTAGTATTATTCATCCCGAACAATAGCTACTTACATTAAACCAACAGATAATTAACAATAACTTAATTAAATGTACAGAATTTACAAACACAAAATTAAAATTCAACAAAGTCTCTTCATTTTACGGGACATATCTTCTTCCGTACTAGTTTTGTTGGCTTCTGCTTCACGTGAGGTTCATCTACTCCATCAGGAAATGTCCTGTTATTGGTAACAGTCACATCAGTGGTAGTAACTTCATCAAGGGCTTCACTGTTTCCCTTCTCAAAACCGGGTAAAGTTTCTTCTTTGACAGTGGCTTTTTCAGGTGACATATCTTCAGCAGCATCATTTGTTCCATTGTTCACTTCGTTCCAACTGAAATGTCCTGGACCGTGATAACGCCAAAGCCTGTTGGCATGCACCACCTTTGGCTTACCTCGCCGACCACATTTTATACGGAAAGTCATGTCTGAGAGATGATCCACTATATCATATGGGCCTTCCCATGGAGATGACAACTTAGGAGACTTCCCTTTGGTTTTCCTGGGATTATACAACCACACCTTGTCTCCTGGTACAAAGCTGACTTCAGTAGATCTCTTATGGAATTCTAACACATTTTCAGGCAACTCTTCGTAAGATGGGCGTCCTGTTAACAGATCCACTGGCAACCGAAGTTCCCTGCCAAACATCAACTTTGCTGGAGTGTATCCAGTGGCTTCATGCTCTGCTGTCCTATAGGCCATCAACAGTGGAGGGAATAAGACATCCCAGTCATCTTGGTGGCTGTTACAAAACTTTGCCAATTTCTGTCCCAGTGTCCAATTGTACTTTTCTACCATCCAATCAGACTGTGGGTGAAGAGGCATTGTTCTGGTTTTTCATATGCCAAACAACTTGCAGCATTCATGGTGATTCAAAGTTACGGCCTTGATCACAATGCAGTTCGTATGGCATATCAAACCTGAAGAAATCATTAATACCCGAAGCTACAGTTGTAGCTTCCTGATTTGGTATTGCATATGCCTCAGGCCACTTGGTGAAATAATCCATCACCACACAAATGTACTTGTTTCCAGCACGAGTTTGAAGCAAAGGACCAGCAATGTCAACGGCTACTCCTTCCATTGGTGTGCCAACTTGATATAACTTCATTGTAGCACGTCCCTTATGCTTGGGTCCCCTTTTAGCACAACATGTACTGCATGTTCTGCACCATTCTTCCACATCTTGCATCATACCTATCCAGTAAAATCTCTGTCGTATGTGACTCAATGTCTTATTAACTCTAAGATGTCCTCCTGTTAAAGTATCATGCGATTGACGCAGAACAACTTCCCGTAACTTTCTCAGTATGATCGTTTCCCAGGTCGTCACATTCTCATCTCCGGACAAGAATACCATCTTCAAGCTTCAACTGGTCCCAATGTGCCCAATAGTTCTT